ATCAGAAACAGCAAAATTTGCGCTACCACGGAGACAACGTTGGTTGGGAAGCGTAGTGGTTGCGATACTTTCCAGAGCATCGTTCCTAGCGAGCCATTAAGTTCCTTACACGACCATACTCGTGGTACATTCCATAATGTACCACGTAGGGGAGCACAGAATTTGGGTATATGTTGAACCCTACCAGATTTGGTGAGGAAATTCCTAAGCTGAGCAGAAAATGGTGTCTGGACTGTTTTCCTCGGGACGTGGAAATTACGTTCTGATAAAGCTGGCAGAAAACATCTGTCGATAGCAATTGTTTTGTATTTTCGGGCCTTTGTTGAGCTCTAACTAATCGTAAGTGAACTTGGCGCTTATTCGGTTACCTACCAAGTATCCAGAATAGACTAACGGCTGACTATCGCCTACTTAACATTCTACCAACTACCCGAATCCAATCAAAAAGTAAGTAGCTCGACACCGACACAATACGATAATCTCCTCGTTTCCGCCCACAAGTTTCTTACCGCCTTCTTCGGCTCCACTATACGGACTGCTTCGACTTCACAATGACTTCTACTTTTTACTATTCTGGAAGTAAAGCTATAAATGATTTTCTTAGCAGTTTATGGTTGAGTTGGGGGGCTTGTTACCTTCAACACTTTGCCATGAGCCCGCCTCTTTTCCAGAGCTCTACTACTGGTACAATAGTATTCATAGATTCCACAGGATAGACTCATATTCATGTCGCTCCGACGTATCCGCTCTAACTCGTACCCTTGCCTTTCTTGAGCCCCAACCCATGCCAAACCTATGGTACGGGTTGTGTGTGACTTGATACGTTCAACTCACAATCTAGCTTCCTTGGTCGCTGTGAGCCTGCTTTTTACTTGGGTAATAAAATATGAAGTGAAATGAACTATGAATTGGCAAATTGGCAAAATATTGACCAGGACTTGAATATGCACTTGTGCATCTCGGACACAGCNAGGGCTTTTGAGCCATGGCCATTACTAGTATAACTCGATTAGCCGGTCAGCCGTATGTAGCACTTCCTTTCCTGGGAATAGGTTCTGCCTATCCCAAACAGCTACTGCGGTTCAGAGGTAATCACTGGGAGGTGGAGGTGAAATGAATTCGCTTACCACCCTATAAATGTCTTGGTATCCTACGAGGGATAAATGGCAGTTTATAGAGTACTTATCGATGTGGGAAATGTCTCGTCCACGTAGGCTCCTCACGAAACGACATTGGAAACAAAGTTTACCGTGGTCAGCGTTTCACGACTTAACGGTGAACAATTATTGCTTACTCTCCCTTATTTGAATTTGAAGAAATTGTTAATCATGAGTTCGAAGAACAGGAAGTTTCTATAATTTTCTGTGAAAATTTAGAACAAACCACTCTTTTTGCTTACCAATTTCCCAGCGAGTTATTATGCCTGCAAAGGGAAGAACGTAGTGAAGTTTAGTTTCGTTAAACCTACTTTACTTGAATGAGTGCATCAGAGAAATTAAATTTAATAATAGTTTTTTCGTAAAACTATCAACTTGGAAAGGAAATAGCATGGAGAAAGTTTTTCTACGAAAACACNCACGTGCAACAAATCTTCACTTTGTTCTCTTGCACACATTTATTTCATTTTCTCTGAAAACGCTTAACGAGAATCATCCATTTTCATTAATTTCACTGGTTAAATGCTGTTTCATCGAAATTGTACCTTCGTGCCAATTCAACCCACCTTTGCGACAAGAATTTTCGTAGACACTCCAGAAATTTATAGACAAAATCCAACAGACTACATTCTGCACCACCATTTCAGTTATTCAAGTAATACTACCTATAAATGCCTACTAATTGGAGCGTTTTTTCGATTACATTCGCTTTGGTTTTGGTTATCCGAAGCAATAACGGCTGTTTAGTGATAATTTGGGCAAAGGTGAGGTAATGCCACTTAGAGCGCTATCACACGCATTGTCGAAGGATCAAATTCTGGAGAGATACCATCATCTAAGGAGTCTCATCCCTTCAAACTCGATTATGGGACAAACTAGCCGATGGCTTGTAGCCCTGGAATTCATTGCGTAGATTCAATACTCAAATGTAATCACGATTCTGTGGGCTGAAATTACTCAGATCCTTCACAGAACGGCTTCGATCAACAAAAAAGCTTGAACTTTTGGATGAGGGGTGAATGAATAGAAGAAATAACACGCTACAACTTAATTGTGGTGAAAGAGCGATAGTTACCGTACAACAGGATGTCTGTCCAGACTGATAATGCTGTCAGCTCTACATTGAAACGGCTAGTAATTATGTTGTTTTGGCTTGTCTGAGTTTCATAGAACGCTGCCGTAGCTTCATCAAGCGGAAAAGGAACTCATGTGTGAAAGAAAATCTGACAACAATACCGATTTTCTTGTTAAAGCGGCCCCTTACTCATTCTATGAAGTACAAGGCAATATAAATGAATTCAAAATCAAATTCATGGTTGTTGTTAGTAGGGTGGATGTTCGCTGTAACTACCAAATACCGAAGATTAGCCAATTGCTTTAAACCAACCCAGCCGCTTCTTCGAGATTTCCAGCCAATTTTAGGTTTTCCTGCGGAATCATTTCTTCAAAAATAACCTGCTCATGATGAGCTTTGTCATTCTTCTCAATACAGCCATGGGAAAAGGAAAATGAGCAAATTAATCAAAAAACATCAAAGGAGTCATAAAGTCACGTAGCGCTTGCCCTTACCAAACGTATAGTGGAGAAGTCATCGGTGAAGTCTTCATATACTGTAAGCAATCTCTCCGGTTCGGTACTGTATAGTTGTCATTCCATTCGTAGGCTTCCTTCCTCAAGCTGATGAAGAACCGACTGCCAAGGTTCTGAAACCTGATGACTACTGTGGATCAATCTAGCGATCTAATGTAATGAATTTCCTTTCCTATCACCATGTAAGGCAGCCATGGCTGGAGTCTACCAAATGCACTATCACTCTCACCAGATGCGGAGGAGATCGTTCTTAGGATCAATATCCGCCCAGGTTATCGAGCCTTCTACCCCTTCAGGATCGATTAATTGGGAAA